CAGATCAGCATCAATAATTCTCCATTCTCTCCCACTGTTAGTTCACATTATGTCCATGAAATGATGAAAGATAACATAACATAATGCATTTCCTGTATCTATATGGTCTTAATTATATTTGACACAAGCTAGCTCTAGGTTAGAGGCACCAACACCATATACAGTATATACTTTCTCTTTCAAAGTAGCATCTGCCTTCTATTACATGAGGTTAAAATACTTCAAAAAACTAACTGAAATATCAAGTGATTTTCCTTACTTTTCTTTTTTTCGATCTGAAGTGATTTCCAAAATATGGCTTGGTCAAAAATAACTAGGAAAAAAAAAAAAAGATCATGCAAAGGCACTGGGTTGAGGAGTGGTGGAGATGCGAATTGAGGATGGTGCCATTTAAACCAAACAAAGTATTCCAAGAGAAATTATGGGTAGAGAAAGAAAGAAGAGAAGGAAAAACAAGAAAATGTATGGGTTTGGGAGTTTGTGGGTCAAGGGAAGTAGATGGGGAATGGTTGGATTGGGATTAAAGAAATATCTCAAGTAAAGTTATTGTTTTCTTCAACCCAAGGAAATGCGCCTGATTTCATGACACATAATTTGAAAACGATGATGGCTCAAAATAGCGTCTAATTTCCTTTAAAACGTAGGATAAGCTAAACACATTCTTCCCCCCCCCCCCAAAACAAAAAAAAAAAAAATTAATTAAAAGGGCTATGATTACTTGAAAATTCTCCAAACCTGAATAAGTTCATCCAAGAACTAATATAATTGGTTGAGTTCAATGGTTACTTTTGGTTCATTGGTTATCTTTAAAGCTATAATAATGACTACCTTTAAATAGTTCAAAATTATTGTATAATTGGTAGCTATATATTAGGGCGAAAAGGATTATCATGTTACAGTAATTTTCCTTATTTGCCGTGTGTTATTTATTTGGACACATAGCTACATCGGTGACATATTGTGACCAAATTTTCTTGGTCAACCTCCGGGAACGAAAGAAAAAAGTACCTGTTTAATTATCGAAATAAAACAAAATATGGTATATAGTTTTAAGAACAAAGCATCTGGCCAACAGGACTGAAGATAGAAATTCATGCCTAAGCCCCAAGCACAAGTTCATTAGATTCAAGAAGACAAAACCAAAAGGGAATTCAAAGATCATGTTGGGATTCAAGTACTAGCTCAGATTTCTAAAGCTGCACTGTACAAGATCGTTAACTGGGTTGACTTGTCTTCTTCTGCATTGACTCGATATCTTCTTTCTTCTATTGAAGTGCTACGCACATAAAATGCAATCTTATAGCTAGCTAATAAGCATGTGGTACTTAATTATTATCTACATCATTAAGCATATAGTAATCATTATCTACATTATTGCTCCATCGAACCATGTTTGAATCATGAAGGGTTGTAATTAGTGACGGTTCAATTCAGTTTAGTCGCCCCAATTGTGTGAATATGTTTGGATTATGCTAAGTTACGTAGGACTAATTAACTGTACCAAAGCTAGGTTATGTAGGACTAATTATGCTAAGTTATGTAAGACTAATTAGCTGTACCAAAGCTAGCCGAGGATTGTTGACTCAGTTTATAAAGTAAAACTCGGTGGGAGGCCAACATTAATTTGGTTTCTTGTTGATTCAATCAAAATCTTGTTTTGGGTTCCCATTCATTTATGAAATAAATGGTTAATTCGATTTCCTTTTTCCAATTTTACACTGTCTAACTAATACGTATAGATAAGAGTTAAGGACATTACGAATTTTTGTCATGAGCAACCCATGGATAACGAAAAAGTTAAATTGTATTTTTAGCCCAATACAAACATTAAGAAATGGTAGCTAGGATCCACTAATGAACATACAAAAGAATGCAAAGAAAAGAGAGAAAGGGAAAGGGCGCATTGAGCGGGGGAGGGAAAAACAATGGGTCTCGAGTTGGGTGTGATCGCAGAGTTTCAATACACACAAGTATATAAATATATTGCCGTGGTGGAATGTATTACTAGGAAATGAGAGATAATCGATTGATTATAGGAGAAGGAGAGGTAATAAAGCTGACCCCTTATATGGAGTGGGACCAAATCAAAGACAAATTGCATGATGCCATTCTAAGCACTCTCTTTCACATTTCCTCTCCTTTCTTTCTCTTTTTTGGTGGCTTCCCTCTTTCTTTATCACCTCATTGATTAAAGTTAAAAATCCTTCTTGGTTTTGAGGAAGATCACCAATACAAACTTAACTTTTCTCGTGTGGCTCACTTAATCTGTTTCCCCTCCCTGAATTTTTCTTTCTTGTCATTCGAAAAAATAAATACTCCGTTATAGATGCTCTTGGTCAGTTGTCGCTGATTTTCTTTCTTTTTTTTTTCTTTGTTTTTTTTTTTTTTTTTGGTAAAGAAAAAAATTTATATGTTTCTTGACCTTTAGAAGGGGAAAATAAGAGATTTGAGTTGTTACAAGAACAGCAAAGCTTACGAGTATCTATAGCTTTACAATAAGCTTTTTAGATAATCGACTAATCAATTACTACGAAACAGATTAGAGATGGAGCAGCAATCTAATTAAGAGAGTAAAGATCTTCGAGATTAAAAAAAAAAAACGTAAAGATCCGGTAAAAACATGCATGTTTATCATTTTAACTTACTGAACGATTCCATCTATGGTTCCCAGCAATAATTTAGTTTTGAATCTTTGTTTTGGCCAAGATTTAAACTATTTGTAATTGTTCAAAAAGAACCAGAGAGAAAGGGGGGGGGGGGGGGGGGATGATTAAAGCTCTATCTTTGTAATGAAAAAACCCCTAATTTGGGATGGATAAGTAATATATTTTCATAAAATTTGGAGTCTTAAGATTTTGGATTTCGCTCTTGTTGATGATCCATCATATACTCTTTTTCAGTAGCGGTGTTTACATTAATGACGATATATAGATTGAAAAAAAATATTGAAGTTGAGTTTTATCCTCTGTTTTCCCTTATCTTTTCAATGATAAGTCGTAGAAACTGAAAATCTTATAGAGACTTATATTGTGTCACGATCCATGATAGGTTCACATTTTGAACATCTCCTCTCCTCAATTGCATCCTCAAATCAAGGATTTAATAGGCTTACAATAGTTGTTTAACCTAAAAAAAAAAAAGTCTACATTAGTTATTTGAAATAGTCTTAGGAGAAAGCTTGATCAATTACCAACCTTTTAAGAAGGGAAGCAAACTGAGCCAACAATCTTGCAATTAGGTTGGAGGTAATTTTGATCTTTTCTAAGATAAGTATGAAAACAAGAAAAACAAACCATAGATGGCTGTTGGAAGTTTGAATCTTAAAAACAAAGTTTTAATTAAATTACGTAATAAAAACAGAACACTTTTTTATTCATCCTCCTCTTATTCAGAACCATCTATTTTGCCTCTATCTGTTTACATAATAATGGAATTTTGAATAATATATATATACACCAAACACAATCTTCACATCGATGATCCATGCCACACATTCCAAAGTGATATGTTTAAAGTTGAAGGTCCATAGATATTGGTCATGATGGGATTGACAAAAAAGCAAAAGGAAGAGAAATCAAAGAGGCGTTCCATTTCAGAGCAAATGCTTGAACCTAGACGTACTACAAACAACCTTGGAGCTAAGTGAAGTTAACCAAACAAGAAGAGATTTAAAAACATCTGATAAGACTGTTTCTTTTATTACAATCACGAAAGTTGCCTTTGAGATTAAGAAAAGATTAAGATTGCCCATTGATTAAAAAAACATCAATTCCTACCTTAAAATATTTCTATATATGTGGAAATATGTATGATATTGTTTTATTTTACAGATTGAGGGGGAAAACGAGAGAAAATGTAGTTTGGGTAAAAGCTGGCTAGAGAAGCATGGGGCCATAAATAAAATAAAAATACAAAAACAAAGGCAGAGGCAGCGTTAGCGGCAGAGACCTGCTGGACACGCGCACCTTCCCAACTTACAACAACCTACACATCATCCCACCATTGATTTTCTCAACCTCTCTACACATTTATTATTAAATTTCTAGCTGTTTTTTTTTTTTTTTTTTTTTACACAACGTAAAAAACAACGTTACTGTTATCAAGGTTGTTGTTTTTTTTTTTTTGGAAAAAAATAAAGTCGAAATGAAAGTAAAATGTTTAAATATATATATATATAGATATATAAAGAAGGACAAATAAATTAAGTAGGAGTAGTATTGGTGTTGGTGATAACAAACACGAGACTCCTCTTGAAGAAAAGCCAGCCCCACGCGAAGAAGAGGAGAGAAAGCAAAGGCAAAGCCAACAAAACAAAGAAAGAAAGAGCAGAATAAGGTGTCTCTCTGTTGGACTGATTCGTTTCGATCGCATCTCTCTCTCTCTCTCTATATATCCATCCATCTATCTACCTTATATCTAAACAAGGGAAAGAAAGATATACTGTATAACACAACAAGAAAAACAAAGTATAGCAAGCAAGGCAAAGAAAGCAAAGCAAAAGCTAGATGATGATGAGGAGATAAATGGGTGGTGGTGAAGATTACTATTAGTTAGCTTGTGTTGTGTACTGGTTTCTAGTTTTGGTGGTGGTGGTGGCGGCCTCTTCTTCCTCTACACAGACACAATTATATTTCTAGATTCATTTCATTGATTCTCTCTCTCTTTCTTTTTTCTCCTTTTCTTCATTCTTTTCTCTCTCCAAAAATAACTGAGAACTAGCTGTTGTTGGACTAGTACAATTTTATGTCTCATTCTTTTTCCTCTCATTGAAGAGTCCGCCTTAGCTTGAGGGGCATCTTTTCATGCTTCTTATGTGCTAGCGTTTATTGCTCATCGCATTTGCTCCATACCTCTCTCTCTATCTCTCTCTCTCTCTCTCTCTCTACCTTCTATACATATTCACCAACTCATACATACATATTTATAGATATACAACTTATTCATTTCTCTCTCAAGTCTCAACCTTTACATATCTACCTGTTATCTGTTGATAATCTATAATGGCTGTCCAAGCTCAATATCCTTCTAATGTCCTCCTTCTAAACAGGTATTTTGCATTCTTTAAAAATCCTTAATTTCTTTTTCTCTTCCTTTTGCATTTCCTAATCTTCCTCCAATTAATCTCCCCCTCTTTCATTTCCTTTTTGTAAATAGAAACGGGCAAGAGGGTCACGATTATTCATTGCAACCACATCCTGGAGGATATCTTGATCAATCCCATATGTTACTCAACAATGGAGGTAATTAGCCCAGTCTCCTTAATCAGTTCTTTGATTATAATGGAATTCTTAATTTTGAATGCCAACATTTATTGAAAATCCATGCAAAATTTTTATATTTATAAAATCTTATCATTAACTTTGAAGCAGGTGGCAATAATCCACGCAAGAGAGGAAGAGCAGCGCCAACAGCTACTACTACAACGACAACAATCAATCAATTCTGTATGCAACCTCAACCTCAGCCTCAGCCTCAGCCTCTGTTAACAACTCAGTTAATAGACCTATCTCAACTCCACAATCATCGTAATCATCTTACTCAACCAAATCCAAATGTCGTGTCTACTGGCCTCCGTTTATCTTTTGGTGACCGTGACCAACAACAACAACAGAATCATCATTACCAACAGCAGAATTTTGGCACTAGTACATGTCAATCCTCTGCTTTGTTATCAGTATTATCAGAAGATTTCTCCTCCCAATTTAAACGACAACGAGATGAGATCGATCGATTCCTTCAAACTCAGGTACCAAAATTCTCTTTTCCTCAATTGGGCCGATCTCTCCTTTTTTTTTCTTTTTTTTTTTGCAATTTTTTTATTGTTGTGCATAAATGAATGAAAAGATATCGTCTTTATGCAGGGAGAGCAGCTGAGACGCACATTAGCTGAGAAAAGACAGCGGCACTACCGTGCGCTATTAGGTGCAGCGGAGGAATCAATAGCCAAACGATTAAGGGAAAAGGAAGCCGAAGTCCAGAAGGCGTCGCGCAAAAACGCCGAGTTAGAAGCACGTGCGACGCAACTGAGCGTTGAGGCACAGGTTTGGCAGGCAAAGGCCAGAACCCAGGAGGTAACAGCAGCTTCCCTGCAGGCCCAACTGCAGCAGGCTATAATGAATGGGGGAGTGGTGCATGATAGCAGGAGAGGCGACGATGGACTAGGATGTTCCGGGGGTGTTGAAGGCCAGGCCCAGGCTGAGGATGCCGAGTCGGCTTATGTTGACCCGGACCGGGTCACCGTCGTGCCAGGCGAACCGCGCTGCAAAGCGTGTCAGAAACGGATGGCTTCGGTGGTGCTTCTGCCGTGTCGGCATCTTTGTGTCTGTACAGAATGTGACCAAGTGGTACAAGCCTGCCCACTTTGCCTCTATGTTAGAAATTCTAGTGTTGAGGTATTTCTGTGTTAACGAGGACCAAACCCAACGCAGATGATTCAGGCCCATCAAAAATGCCCAGCCTACGTGTGGGCCGGAGGTAAAGAGAGAAGAAAAAGAAAAAACAGGAAAAATAATGCTCACTGCATAAATAAATTCCAATTTCTTTCTCTTTTTTTGTGTTTTTTTTTTTTTTTTTTTTGTGTTTTTTTGGGTAAATCAAATCACCCAAGTTTCTTTTTTGGTTGCCCTCTTGGAGTGAAGTACCTAGAGGTAATGTACATGGCCACATGGGTAGTTTTCTTTTTAAAACAATTCATTCCATATATAAATTCTTTTATTTAGCATAAGCTTATAGTCGCTACATTTATTTCTTTTGATCTTATTATAACAATGGTGATTTTATTGGTGGCATTTGCTAATTTAGCTTAGTCATGAAAGAATGCAAAAAGATTTCCCATTTCTAGAAATTAGAGTAAGGTTGTCTATAAAGAAATTGCACCTCATGGTAACGCGGAAGAAAAAGCAAGTTTTATCTAGAAATAGAAAGCTAATGAAAATCGCATCTGATTTTTATGTGTTATGTAAAAAAATCACCCCATTTTGCTTGTTTTCAGAAGAGAGGAATTATAAAAGACAATCTGAATTTTTCCTGTCCCCACATTGGTTATGTTCGATATTTCCGCTATAGAAAAAATGTTTTGTTATAATATTTTTAAAGGCCTTCATCAGTAGCACTATTATGAAATGCATCATGTCTTAGAGCCTGTTTAAATTCACGGTAGCTAAAGCCTTTTGAGTTCTTTATTTTATCATAAACTATGCTTGAACAAAATCAGAAACCTTGATTTGGGTGGAAAGTAGCTAGATTTATTGCCTGTAGCTGTCATAATTTGTCATTTTTACAAAACAGAATTTCCTTCTTTTTTTTTTTTTCTTTTTTAGGGTCGAGGGAGATGATCGGCTATGATTTATGAATTAATATTTGTCCTAATCCAGTAATTTAGTAAGTATATATTATCAAAATTTGTCCATTTGATTAAATCACTTTGTAATAGAAATATTGTTGGATTAAATCAGAGGAAAAAAACAAATAAATGGGCGAATTAGCGAGCTAAATAGTTATTAGACTAAGAAATAAATAGCATAACCAAATGGTACTAATTTATATGGTTAAAAGAAAAGGGGAAAGACGTGAGGAATGTGTTTTTAAAATTGCTTAATAAAAAAAAAAGGATTTAAATTGATGTGTAAACTGATACATAGACATCTTTAACTGTCGTATGACTCGTATCATAAAAAAAAATTACAATAAATATTGTTCTATTTGCAAATTACAAATAATCAAGAGATCAAACTTGTATCAATCTTGTATGTTTTGTTTTATTGTTATTAACACACTTTTTTTATTCTAGTCTATAAATTAACACTCCATGAGTGCATATATTTTGTGAAAAATATATTAAAAAAATTACAATAAATGTTTCTAATGTTTGGATGTATTAAAAAATATTTTTCTAAAAAAACAATTATTATGATAACAAGATGCAGGAAATGGCAGTATTAGAGATATGTACCATAGAAGTAGCGATGGCAAGATAATGGTGGCGGTTTTAACGATATTAGTGGTAGTTATACAATAACAATTATTGTAATGATGGTTATTACGGTAGTGGCAAGGATGGTGTTGGAATGGCGATAACGTTATGATTTCAATGGTGTGTACATTAAAAATAAAAATAATAGCATTGTTTTGAATTTTTTATTATTTTAGAATTTTTTTTCAAACTTTTTTTTATTATTTTTTAGAAAAAAAATGGAATCAACAGAGAGCTTACACGTGTTATTCTCATATTTAAAAGGCAAAATTAATATGAAAATTGAATTATCTATATATAAGAAATCTCTACTATCTAATAGATCAAATCATAAAAAATCAGTTGTGTAAATTGAAATTATAATAGAGTCTATATAAATTATCTATTCTACAGAAACATCTTATAATTAAACCCAAATGCTACGAAGGCAATGGAGGTAATTGCCAAGCGGTTCCAATGCTGGGCCAGGGAAGAACCCATGTCATAGTTAGATGAAGAGAGCTGGAATTTACAGATATGAACCCTAAAGCACCCAGGCCCACAATATCCGTTCCCGTTTTTCCCCATCTTTTTTTTGCTGCAAGACGAATGAAACATTACATGGATGGGAGATTGGGATTCTATGGAACCTTTTAGAGCTGAAGCATGTACATGCTAAATTCGACAACAAAAGTTATTAAGAATTAAGTTAATTTTATTATAAATAATTTTTCCATGTCCAACCTAAACAATAAATAGATTAAATTGAGGATGGGTTTTCCTCGCTATAAAAGTTTGAATTGTATAAGATTGAATATGGATACTCTAATAGAATTGATATATATATCTTGTTTGTGGAATACGTTTAAAAAATTAGTTTGATGAATTTAAAAGCAGAATCTGTTAAAAAAATGCTCAATTGTTATTTTATTTAGACCTTTTCTAGCAAGTTAAAGTAATCAAATCCGATATTCGGATGTGGATAACATAGTATAATTTTAACGATCATAAATCATTCTCATTTTACTATAAATATCAACCTCACACATTGCGAATGATTCTAACTTTTTGACTTTTAACAAAACCTCTAAAACTTTTTTTTCTCTTAAAACTCTCATACTCATTCACCGGACATCATGTAAAACTCTATCTATTTGAATTTTGATCAACTCCTATTCTCATGCCTCTCACTACTTGTACCTATTATATTTAGTTGGTGGTTATTATTTTTTTATAAATCACGAGTACTAACTTATGTATTTTGATCGATATGTTGAACTCTCTTTAACTTATTTTCAAAAAATCCCTCACAAGATGAAAAAAATTTTCTTAGATAAAATTTCAATCTAAAATTAGCCATCAAGATTTAAATTATCGATCATATGAGAGCGTAGTTTAAAAAAGGGTCGTTACTTAACATAACGATCGTTATATAACGATTTTGGGGTACTCCATGATCATTATTCAACGTTATGGATGCCTTGATGATATTTCACATGTATAGCAACAAATAATGGTATTATTGTTTTGTAACACCGTGATTTATCGTTGTTATATAATGACGCTTTACATATTTACAAAAACAAAAAAAACAAAAACAAAAAAAATCAACCATTTCAATGGTTAAAATTCAGCCATAGAAGTAGAGATGCGAAACTAAGAGTCTCTCGACCCAACCCACTCGCCTCTACCACTACCGCCGCCACTCGAAATCCCTTTCTTGTTTTCTTGGAAAGTAGGTTAGTTTATGGATAGAAATTGAAAACGAGTGTGTGTGTGTGAGAGAGAGAGAGAGAGAGAGTTTCTTTCTCTTTTTTTTTTTCCTCTTCTAAGGTTGAAACAATTTTCGATAAATTTAATAGAGAATTTTACCGCTTGATTTGTTTTATTTTATGATGATCAACGATTTTTATTCAGTTATAACATACTCTTTCTTCATGTGAAGTTACAACTCTTTTTACTTGCTTAATAGGATAGGATATAATCAAATACTAACACTTGCAGTGCTTTGATTGAATAAATATTGAATTAGTTCTTTTATTTTGGCAAAATAAATTAGTTAGTCTTTTTTATTTCAAAAAAAAAATTATTTAGTTATTTTCGTTCATTTTATTTTATTTTCCTTTTTGTTTGAAAAAATGAAAAACTAAAAAAAAAAAAATGATATCATGGAAAGAGTGATGAAAAGAAAAACATTTTATAAGATAAAATATATAATATTAAACAAGATTAACATTGATCAAAAAATTAAATAATTAGTTTTTGAAACACTAAAAACTAATTAATTCATTTATGAAAACTAGAGAGACTAATGTCTAATTTACTTCATGTTGTCTTTCTTGTGGCGTGTGCAACAAATTCAAAGGCTTGCAAATGAATGCTTGAACTGATTGAATTATAAATTAATCCTTTTACTTTGGAAAAATAAAATAGTTGCTACTTTTTGTTTCAAAAACTAATTATTTATTTATAATTTATAATTTTATGTTATTTTCTAATTTATTTTAAAAATTGAGAAAAATAAAAAATAAATTTACATCATGAAAAGAATGATTAAAAAAACATTTGTAAAATAAAATATATTACATTGAACATAATCAATATTGATAAAAAGATTAAGTAATTAGTTTTGAAAACATAAAGGATTAATTAATTTATTTATCAAAACTAAAGGAACTAATGTATAATGTACTCCCACAAAATTCAAAGGCCTAGCTTGCAGTCTTTGAATTTGATTGCATGTAATCAAATGATGGAAGAAAAACATACGTCCTTTAGCAAGTTAAAATACCACGTCATTTTAAACTTTATTCATGTTTTCATAAAACTATTAGGATCCAACTCTTAACTCCAAACATTCAACTTTCTCTCGTGTCTCAATTCGTTTTAAACTTTACATTTCTCATAAACCACATAAAACATTTTAATTATTTGTTTGGAAAGTAAAGAATTCATAAAATTAATTATCAACTCAAATTAATTTTAAAATTTTTTATATGATATTAATCTATTAAAAGTATTATTAACTATTTTTTTTATAGTAAATTCAACTATTGTTAAAAATAATTGAAAAACGTGATAAGTCGCAACTATTATTTTACTACCATGATAAGTCACAATCCGCAATCACAAATTCGTTATTTCAAATGTGACTGCTATTTAAAACTATGTATGAGAGAAGAAACCAAAAATATTGTAATTTAGAACAAATACAATAGATTGACATAACATCTTTTCAAATATTATCGGTCTCACATGATTTTGTTTCCCCAATGACAATTAGTAAGGATTTTTAATACTTTAATTGTTGTATATGATTCTCACTTAGTTAATAAGACATTTGCATGCCACCGATTCTACTCTATAACCACGACCTTGAGAAATGTTTTTTTCCTCAAACTAGCTAATCTTTTAATTAAAGTACCCTTCTACTTTATAATTAGTGCATAAGGAAAC